AGGACTAGACTCTTTCTTCTGTTCACAGGCTAGTGAGGGAGACCTGGCTGTGGCACAAGTGGATCTGGGCCTGGGACAAGGCGAGGAAATGAGCCTGGTTGTAGGGTCAGTTTACATGCCCTATGACTCGGCTGAACCACCTCCTTCGAAAAAAGTAAAGGACCTATGCAACCATGTGAAGGAAAGGGGACTTGAACTCCTGCTAGGTTGTGATGCCAACTCGCACCATGTAGCATGGGGGAGCACCGGCATTAACGGCAGGGGGGAAAGCCTCCAGGAATTCATAATGGGGGCCGGTCTAAACATCCTTAATAGGGGGTCAGAACCTACCTTCATAGATCGGAGACGACAGGAGGTCATAGATATCACTCTGGGGACGGATAGAGTGGCAGACATGATTGGGGACTGGAGGGTCTCAAAGGACCTCTCAGCGTCCGATCATCAAACCATAAGAATGTCCATCCACACAGTGAAAGAAACGGAATGGGTGAGAAACCCAAGACGAACAAACTGGGGAAATTACCGAGAGAGTCTATCTGACAATCTCAGGGATATCATCCTCAGATTTAACAACAAAAAGCAGCTGGAGGAGGCTTCGATTGCCCTAAACCAGGCCATCATGGACTCCTTCGAGACAAACTGCAAGCTTATCCCGAAAGGGCAGCCCACTGAGACTCCTTGGTGGTCAGAGAGGCTCGGTGGGCTGAGGGGCAAAGCTAGAAAAGCTTTTAACAAAGCTAAGAACATGAGAGCGGGCCCCCGTAAGGAAGACGCATGGAAAACTTACAGAGGCTTGCTCGCAGATTACAACAAGGCAATAAAGGCAGCCAAAGAGGACTGCTGGAGGGCTTTCACAAGCAATGTGGAGAGTCAATCGGAGACCTCTAGGCTGGCAAAAATCCTTGGAACAAACAAGACTCCATATCTAGGGAGCCTACAGGCACCAGATGGCAGCCACACGGAAACCATGGGAGAGACTCTGAAACTCCTAATGAACACCCACTTTCCAGGCTTCATACAGGCCCAGGAGAGAGATAAAGAAACAATGCAAAATCAGAGGGATGTCTACGAAACCCATGATTGGGCATTGGCAAATAAAGTAGTGCAGCCCTGGGGGGTCAAGTGGGCCATCAAAACCTTTGAACCCTTCAAGGCACCGGGACCAGACGGGATCTACCCAGCCCTATTACAGGAAGGGATAGAGACTATCACGGGACCCCTAACCAAGATACTCAGAGCTAGTATAGCCCTGAAACATGTCCCTAGTGTGTGGAATGAGACTAGGATAGTATTCATTCCCAAGCCGGGAAAAACCGGTTATATAAAACCAAAAGACTTCCGTCCTATAAGCCTCACATCCTTCATCCTGAAGACCCTGGAGAGGCTGGTGGATAGACACATCAAGGCCGGGCCCTTGGCTGACAGACCCCTCTCCCCCTGTCAATATGCATACAGAGAGGGAAGATCAACAGATACCGCCTTACATCACCTGGTGGGACTGATTGAGGGACAACTGGCGGTCAAGGGTTTTGCCATAGGCGCCTTTCTGGATATTGAGGGGGCTTTTGATAGCACTTCGAATCCGGCTATAGAAAAAGCCATGGAAGAACGACAGGTGTCCAAGACTATCATTGCTTGGACACAAAACATGCTGAAAAGCAGAAGACTGTCGGCAGGACATGGGAGGGTATGTGTGGAGGGACGTCCGACTAGGGGCTGTCCGCAGGGGGGAGTTCTCTCGCCCCTGCTATGGAACCTGGTTGTAGATGGACTTCTAAATCAACTAAGTGAGGCCGGCTTCCACGTCATCGGTTTCGCCGATGATGTGGCAGTTGTTGTGAAAGGCGGATTTCTGAGGGTGCTAAGGGACCTGATGGCAACAGCCTTCAATATCATTGAGGACTGGTGCAGGGTAACTGGCCTATCGGTAAATCCAGCCAAAACAACAATCCTGGTTTTCACCAGAAATTATAAACTGGAAAAGATCCAACCTCTGAAGCTAAATGGCTCGGAGATTAACTACACCAGCAGAGTGAAATATCTGGGTGTCCTCCTGGATAATAAACTCAGCTGGAAAGAACATATCTGTACTCAGAGAAATAAAGTGTTTGCCTCTATGTGGGCATGCAGGAGAGCTGTGGGCAGGACATGGGGACTCAATCCTAAAATGATGCTCTGGCTCTACCAAATAGTTCTACTTCCGAGACTGTTATACGCTGCGGTCGTCTGGTGGCCGAGGGTGAGTAAGACGGAAACAAGGAACCTGTTGAAAAGCCTACAGGGAACCTTCCTGAGGGCTGCAACAGGAGCCATGAAATCGACACCTACTGAGGCGCTAGAAATAGCACTCAGTATCCCACCCCTCGACCTTAGGGTTGTGAGTTGTGCTACCACAACTGCATATAGACTAAGGTGCCAACTAGAATGGAAGATGACGGGCCAAGGCCATACAAGGCTTAGCCTAATCAATGATCGACCCTTCATAGGTAAGACGGATAGGATTCCTAGGAAGTATCAGATCAGGAAAACTTTCAGAACGAGTATACCACCCAGACAGGAGTGGCTAGACTCGAAACGTAAACCAGGACCAAGAGAGGACTACTGGTTTACGGACGGCTCTGGCTTCAATGAAAGTTTTGGGGCAGGCATCTACCGTCTGAAAGATGGCTTCGGAGAGAGTTTTCCGCTGGGCCATCATTCAACCGTCTTTCAAGCAGAGATGCTGGGCATACTTAAGTGTGCAGAGTATCTGAACGCGAGAGACACAAAAAAGATGAAAATATTCATCTGCAGTGACAGCCAGGCGGCGATACACGCCCTGGAAAAACCCACTACAGAGTCACAGGTGGTGTGGGAATGCATGCAGGCATTGGACACACTGGGTAAAAACAACCGGGTCACCGTAACCTGGGTGCCAGGTCACCATGGGATTCTGGGTAATGAAGAGGCAGATAAGCTGGCCAAGGAGGGTACAGAAAGTGTGCCCTCACACGGCCTGCTTGGCATGCCCTTCGCAGTGGGAAAAACTCTTATTAAAGATCATTTCCAGCGGGATCATGTCAGGCGTTGGGAGAAAGTTGCGACCTGCAGACAAGCGAAACTGCTTATGAGAGGGCAACTAAGAGTTAGGACCAGAAAGCTTCTGGAGTTGCACAGAGGGGATCTGAGGGTAGCAGTAGGGCTCCTTACGGGTCATACAGCTCTCAGAGCTCATCTGTTCAAGATGAAACTTGCAGAACAAGAAGACTGCAGACTGTGCGGAGGCGATAAGGAGGGCGTCATCCACATTTTATGTGAATGCCCCCTATTAGCACTCCGTCGCTATAAAATCTGGGGCCAGGCTTTCCTGAAACCAGAGGACTTACAACAAGCGGCTGTCACCAACCTTATTAGCCTAGTGAGAAATACAGGGTTGGGGCTGTGTGACTGACCGAAACTAAAGCGGAAGTTACAAAAGATCGTATGATTTAGGTGACTCTGGGCGCTTTAAGTGACCAGCCGCACTTTTTTTTATTCTATTATTCTATTCTATTCCCACTGTGTTGCAGGGCATTCCTCAACAATCTCTTTTTCACAAACACATCAGTGTTTGGATAAATTTCAATTTATGAAAAAAGTTATTGAATACTGAGTTTTTATCGTTGCTTACTTTATTTTTCCGACTTACTTCATGTCCTCCGTTTCGATTTGGTTTTTCTTGGAATTTCTGGATCAGAGCATGGTGATTATATTAGTGATGCCTCGAGAGACTTCACGAGACATCACTCGTGAAATCTCGTGAAGAGACTTAGTATTGCCGAAGTATTGTCTTGTGATGCCTCGAGAGACTTCGCGAGATATCACAAGACAATACTTCGGAAGAATCGTCTTGGTCTCAGTGAGCACCGAATTTTGTGGTCTTGTCTCAGTCTCGCAATACGCGGTATCAGAGTCTTCCCAGGATGACGCCGAATCAATTCATCTCATGTCGTTTTCTGTACGTAAAATGTCGAGACGAGACAGACCGAGATAAAAAATGCGATTTTATATGATCAAACCCGAAAAACTTGAGACCGAGATGAAATAAATTGTCTCTGAGTGATAATGAGAAGAGATGATAATATGTTCTTCCCGACTGAGATGAAACCAAAGATTTCCACGTTCATTTTGAGACCGAGACCTTCTCTCCAAAGTGGAGTCTTATGAAGTCTTTAGCGGCATCATTAAATTATATAATCGTGGAGGTATTTGGATGCTTAATTGATTTCGATTTGTAAAATACGATTCCCTCAATGGGCTACAATTTCGGAAATACAATTAAACATCCAATTTGATTCGATTTTCAGTTTGACCTGCATTCCTCGAAGCTAACATTCGATTAGTCTTCGTAATACAAGGTTAAATTGAGGTTAAAATTGTAAGCTATAACCGAAGAATCAAACAATGTCGGCAAGAGTGAGTCATTTTTCGACACTAGCTACGAGGCCCGAGATGGGAGTCTCAAGTCACGAGGCCCGAGTCACCGGTCATGAAACATGAGTCATGAGGCACAAGATATAAGACCCAAATCACGAGAGACAAGACACGAGTCATAAGTCACGAGATATGAGTCCCGAGTCACAAGACACGAGACACGAGTTACGAAGCTCAAGGCCCGAAACCTGCGTCACGAGACACGAGGCATGAGCCACGAAACATGAGTTAGAACATGAGTCATTACGCGACATGAGCCGCCAGTTACGAGGCACAAGGCACGAGTTATGCAACATAAGCCGCCAGTTATGAGGCACAAGTTAGGAGACGCGACTCAAGAAAATCAAAGAATGTCGGCAAAAGTCTTTTCTATTGAGTACGTTGCATCTTACCATTCTCATCCTCAGTTTCTCCCTCCGATAAAACATAAATGTGACTTATTCTTTCTTGTCGCTTGAATTTTGGTGGCTCATCAACATGTACTTCACGATCCATCCTTGCCGCATGTAAATCCTTTGTATGCCGAGTTGAAACTGTTTTTTTTTTAGGGACTGACGACTTCAACCCCTCACGTCTGCGAGTATCTCTTGCTAAAGGAGTGCCCTCATCATCGTTGTGACCCTCACGTTTGCGACCATCTCTGGGTGAAGGAGTGTCCTCATTATCCTTGTGACCCTCACGTCTGCGGCCATCTCTTGGTGAAGGAGTGTCGTCATCATCTTCGTCATCTTCAAAATCTTGATAATTCTGAGTAGATGCTGCTGAGGTTTTAGTTGAATCGATGTGCTCTTGTGATTTCGATGATGATCCACTCTTCCTTTGTACTTCTTCCTCGTCATTCCCTTCTCCCTCACCTTCATCTTCATCCGAGTCTTCAGCAGGGATCGTCATTAATCATTAATCCGTCAATTTTTTGAGCTCAATCATTCATTATTTTCGTTAATCATCATTTCAGCTTCATGAACTTTCTATTAATTAATTCACCTGTAATCACGATTGAGGATTATGTGATAACTGATTAATCAGTAACTCGAATTTTCACATTTGTGATTTCTGAAATAATGAGTAATCGGAGGTACAAGGCACCTGATTACTGCATCAATCGTTAATGGAAACCAGTAATTACTTGCTCGCTTAATTAATGATCAATTACGTTAAGAAATTACTCAACTACCAGACGAATGGTTAATCAGGACTGAAGAGGATCTGATTATTTGAGTAATGGTCAATTAAAATTCTGAATTTTTCGATTATTTTGACATCTGTTAATGGTAATTGAAAGTTCGTCAATACCTAATTAATTCTTAATTCGAATTTCCAGTTATTCATTCTTATAATAAATGGTTAATGGACCTCAAAATAATTAGATTACTAAATCAATCGTCAATATGACTTACTGATTATACGATAAAACAGTCAATCGTCAATCAGAATTCGCAATTATTTGATTATTCAATTAATGGGTAATGGAAACAAATAATTGCGTGATTACTCAGTCAATCATCGATGAAATTAATCGAGAAAGTTATTGATGATTAGATTATAGAATTAATCATCGATCGGGATTTGCCATGATTCGATGATCCAATTTTTAATTGGATCCAGAAAACACTTGATGGATTAATCAATCATTGATTCAAATTGGAAATGAAAAAGGCACGAATAGGCAAGAATTTTCAAAAATATTCTCTAAGGAGTAATCACGTCGGCCGGGTTACCACGTGTTACATCGGGAAGCTGTGGCTGTGTTTCTGGTACTTGTGATTATTTGACAGTGTCGTTCTTGGGTGAGTACTATTATTCACATTATTTTAGTGGTTGAAAATTGTTCTGATTAGCCGAAATCCGAGAAAAAGAAATAATCTGACAAATACCTCTTATGCTCCGAAATCAATCGATGATTTTCCTCAAACTTATCTGCATAAATAAATGTGCAAAATTTGATACATTCTTTCTATGAAACAAAGTTATCAGAAAACAACGGATAATTTTGTAGACTTAGCGGTATGCCTATTGATAATTTCAAGCTGATTGTTTCAGTTTCTACCCCAGAGAATCTATCTGCAGAAGAAGTCACTTGTTAGACTAAAATGAACCCCGAGAAGACTGAAGAAATGACGGACAATGCAGATGTAGATGTTGCTGATGCCATGAGTGTGCTCAACATCCCCACTCGGATGGAACGCGGTTCATACCGAATCTGGAGACATCTCCCATCACTGGTCCAGTCTTTGCCACATGCTGATCATGTCAGAACGATCGTGGTATCGCGACGGTGATAGTGGGAAAATAGGATTGTTCATCCAATTACAGGGCACATTCGCAGGTGGGGTGATTTGAAAACTTCTATGAGAATTAATAAATTCTATGAGTTTTTTGCTACTGATTCTGTGAGTTATTTTTTATCTAAATGTTCAAGAGAGAAAATTTAACAGAAAAAATTGATCGATTCAATCAATTTTTCGCCGATCCTATGAAAAATTTCATAGGAAATCTCCCAATTGAATAATTTTTAGAGAAAGTTCGACACCTATGAATTTTTTCTGTCAAAAAACGATTCCATTTTCAACAAGAATTCCATAGAATATTCTCGCAAATGTGCTAGATTCCTCTATAAAATTCCTTCAAAATCCATTAACTTAAATTTCCCAAGTTTTTTGACTGGAATTTTCGGATGAAAACAACAATGTTGTGGAGAAAACTTATGCTGAGCAATTTCCGTCGAAAATTCTTAAATAGTATGAGTTTCATGAAAAGATCAATAACTCTCGTAATTTTGGATTGACGTCAAATGAGTATTATTTTCAAGATGAGCAAGATGAAAATCTATTAGAAGTTTCTGGCCAATGCGTCGGCTTCTTCTATAAAATTTTTTCCTATGTAACTAATATATATTAATTATCCATATTCAATATATTCATGTTATATATTTTCAGAGACGTCATCACGACTGTGTGAGCGAGTATCGCGTTCACGTTGAGATGAAGAGAAGAGGGAATAAATAGACCCATCAACGTACTCATACTCCTAAACTGCTGTATATTATACTCTATAAATCTGACAATAAAGGCACTTTAAGAAATCCACCATTTTGAGAAGTAATTAGCTATATTTTTTCGTCAATACACAACGAATACATCGAGATATTAAGTCAACACAAATTTATGTATAATTATCCAAAATATAGTCAAGTAACTCTTAATCAGCATATGATGATTATCAATACTAAAGCGTAAACAAAATAAAAATTTCAATCGTTATGAATCATAAACGGAACAACAACAATGATTGGAGGAAAAGAAGTAATTTCATAAATTAGTGTATGAAAACTTATGTCAAAATTATAAATTTTTAATCATCAAAAGGAACGGGAAATCAGAAACCTTAAGGATGTACTTCACGGTTAGAGCCTATTTTCACGGTTTTTAAAAATTTCTGACAAACTGTTGATCGGATTGACATGAAAAAATATGTCGTTTTTGCATTTTATCAGTATTTGATGGCTCCCAAAGTTTCATAATCGTGCAAGCATTTTTCCGCGTTTTTCTAAATTTTTCGAAAATTTACAAAATTTTAGAAAAAAATCAGAAAAGTGGTTGCACGATGATGAAACTCCGGGAGCCATTGAATAATGTTAAAACGCCAAAACGAGATATTTTTCTATGTCAATCCGACCAACAGTTTGTCAGAAATTTAAACAAAACGTGAAAATAAGCTCCAACTGTGAAGTATATCTTGAACGAAGAAAAAACATGAATATAGATACAGAACATGTAGATCCAAATGATAAATTATCGATGGAGAAAGAAAAGGAAGAATAGGAATGAAAATCAACGACTGATCGGAAAGAGAAATCGCTACACATTAATTAATACCAGCCAATGATCATATCTATCAGAAAAATAGATGACTGGATATGACACTTGGAGAGCTCCGATTCTAGAGTATTGCTTCCCCGATATTTCCCTGTAGCAGCGTCATTATCGATTTAGATCCCCCAGAATTATGCATCGTCCTTGGGAAGTTTAGTCTTGATCAGGGACAAAATTTTTATCTGAATAGCCAGTCTCATGTCGGGGTGGACTGTCTCTAGTAAGTCTCTCAACATTGAGAGGAATCCATTCAGGGAATTCGTCAGAGGAGCTGTTGCAAGTAAGGCTTCTGCAGTTGCCACTGCAACATCATCGGCGTTGAACCTCCTCCCTATAGGCAGACAGATATTTTGAATAAATCGATGAAGAATAATAATTGTCATGATTCAGGTTTTGCATGGAAATTTTTATGGTTTGATATGAAAATGAAATGAGAAATATGAACCACGTATGTATTTTTTTCATTTTAATGAATAATGAGTAGCTAATGAATCATCAACGAGTGAAATGTCCACATTATGACGTCACGCCAAAATGCCCATAAACCGAGTATTGTGACGTCAAAATGCAGATTCAATTACCTATAGATTCTTGTTTTTGCATTCCTTCAAAAAAAGAATCATTTTTCTCTCATATTTTTCATCCAATTTAGGTAGTTCATCATCGAATTCAATTTAAAAAAATCCATGCAATATCCCAATTGTAATTATTGAATATATAAAAATCGTGAATGCTGAAGGCATTATTTCAGAAAAATCATGACAACAGGAAATAGAGTGACATTACTTTTTGTCCCTTTCATGGATTTATCACTTCCTCCAGAACGTTTAGTGCCACTACCAAGCCCTGATAGGCCTGGCTGAGTGCACTCACAAGATGATGAGGGGGCAAGGGGGGGTATCGGTTGGGGACGTCTGGGGAATGCCTCTTTTGGTTTCTTGTGGACCCTGAGTCTAGGCAGTGAGCAAGTCTCTTCCTGATCCTGTGATGTTTGCCTCTTATTAGCCCTGAGGAAACGAGCGTTACTGATTGTTCCATCAGAAGAGACGTTCATTGAAATATCACATACATGAATGAGCAACATATCAAATGCATTGAAATGTTATATATTACTACATTCCAATCATTGCCTTGTCGTCATCATTTATCCAAACCTCTTGGGTGTCTGGATCGACACCAGCAAAGCAGGAATGGCTTCGATAGTCTCTCAATCTCAAAAAGTAATCACCGCAATATACACACTGGGAAAACTAGAAAAATTCATAAAATTGTGCTATAAGTACATGGAGAATATCCTATGAAGAACTTATTTTAATATGTCACTCATCACCGAGATTATTCAACAATTATTATTAAATATTCAATCATTGCATTGTAGGATGTACTATCTTCTAATCATTTTTCGAACTATTCTTGGAATTATCTCCCGAAGAAATCAATTTTTCCTAAACCCGCGTGCTTCTTGATATAGTTAAAGTTGTTTAACGTTACAAGGAAAAATTTTGATGTGCCCAAATGAGATAGCACAGTGTGCAATTCGCCTTTATGCTCTTGTTTTCAATTTTTTGGACTGTGGAGACTTGAATTCGCGAGGGTTCTAGATTTGTGGACCATTACTTCAATGTTATTAAATTCAACAGATTATGTCAGCGCCTCGGTCGCAGAGCCGTTGTCTCCTATACACCGGCGATTCCCAATATATTACTAATTTTTTTCCTTTCCATTCCATATCTGTTGCAGTCATAATCAAATTGTGATATTCAAGAAATGTCTGGATTATCTATTTATTCTCAGCCTCTATGTTTTATTTGATATCTTCGACGATTTTTTCGTCGAATATGAATGCACCCAATAAAAAAAGAAAAATCTAAACGACAAAACTAAGAAAAAGCTCCGGAAACCGTCTTATTCATGAATTATTAACACCGAGGTCAAACTGGGCGGGACACATCGAAGATTCTTATTACTGTAAACAATGATTGAATACTACTCACCATGAATGTATTGGGATCTGCACTTGAATCATCGTCACTTATTATTCTACTTTTTATTATCACTGATTTATGAACGCTCTTCGCGATTATATGCCAGCTTGACACTCACAACACGACTGAGCATTGAGCAGTAAGCAGAGTGGATACCAAATAGTTTCCACTGAGATCAAAACAAACCGAAAGACATGGTTCCTTCACACAACAGTCATAGCACTATTGATGCCTTAACTCTGATTACGGCTCTTTCTCATCAAAATCAAAACACAGTGCAACAATAATATTATTAAACAAGTGTGTTCTCAACAGAACCAGCAATAGAGGACTAATCTCTACTTACGTATGTAGAGGATCAACTCGCGAAAAATCTGAACTTCTGCTATTTGATACATAAATAATGACTTTTTTGGGACTTTGACAATATAACTTAATATGTCTTAGAAATTGCGTCGAAAGATGTGAATCGATTTTTCTTCTCCGAATAGAATATCAGAAAATGAACAATGGTACCATGTGAGCTGATAAGTACTTATAATTTAATTCCAGTATAATTATTCACGATTGGTCACGATTTAACCAACGTTGATGAGCATGATTTCAGGGTTTTAATCATTCATTTCGACCAATCAATCATCATCATTGAAATAATAATAATAATAATTGGTTGGCGAGTCAATCAAAAGTTTATTTCCCCAAATGGTTTCAATTGAATTTCATAGAGAACTCTCCCATGAAAAACTCATGAATTTTCTCATGAAAATTCATGATTTTTTTCGTAATTCAGTGTCAATTTTAAACACCATAATACGTTGCGGACACGAATGAGCCATGGGCGGGGTTGATGATTGTCCCAGAAAGGGGTGGGAGCAGAGGGTTAAATGTAAAAATTATTTTTCATCTTTGGAATGAAGGAAAATCCTATCTTTGTATCATGGCCCTGAGATATCTTCTCATGAACCCTCACTCTGTGGCTTTCAATTCGAATCACGACGAGCCTCATTCGATAATGTGACATCATAGTTTTAAGGATTGTTTTGAACGTTGTTATGATACCGACTCGTCGAGAATTCAGGGAGTTTTTGGATAGTATCAACGGTTAGATGACAAATAAATAAAGAAACAAATTGAAACTTGAGAAATTTTATTTTATTCACTGGGCAAATCAAAAATCAAAGATATTACACTCTAATTATTGAATAATTGCGTCGTAAATCTTTTACTGTCATCATTCTTCAATCTAGTAATAGAAGAGGAGAAAACCGAATCACAGAGAGCGATAGCAATCTCAATCGAAATAATACAATAGTGGAATAAGCAATAATAACTATGAAAAATATGCAGATAAATCACAATAATTTGAAAATTCATAGTACTGGATTACATACTTCTTCAATAGAATATGTAAATATAGTGAAGGAAATGTACGTGGAGCAACAGTTGTCCAATGCTTATCATTGAGCACTCATCGATCATGAATATTCCCACGGTTTCTAATGAAAAATCATTCATTCACCCTAGACTCCTTCATTTGTCATCAAATTATCCATTTAAATCAACTCATCGTGTGTTTATTCTCCGGCTTCCAATGAAAGATTCAATGTTAAGTATGAAAACGTTTTGGAGGAAATTATAGCCCATTCGCAAGAGAATTCCATTGAAGTTTTATCGGAAATTCTATTGATTTTTTGCCTATTTCTATTGACCACTCCGCAACGCTTCCGCGTGTTTTTTTTATAGGAAAATGTAATAAAAAAAATATCTACCAGAAAAAAATCAATAGATTTTGATTATTTAATAAAACTTATTCTCTGGGGATTTTTTCTATAATAATTCCTCGGCATGATTTTTCCTAGTTTTTTTCTTTGATTTTCCGAAGAAATTCTCTAGAAAAAGTCTCAAAAGAATAAGTTTTATCAAGAAATCAAAATCTGGCGATTGTTTTACGTTAAATTTTTCCTATTGAAGAAAACGCGCGCAAAAGTTGTGGAATGTTCAATAGAAATCGGCAAATAGCCTATAGAATTTTCACTAGAGTTTCAATTGAATCTCTTAGCGGATGCGCTAGGATTTTCTCGAGATTTTTTTCATACGTGGTTCATTATGCCAATGCCTCTTAAGTACCCACGTTGATTACACCCCTCGTAAATGAACTTCAGGAGTTAATGAGAACTGATAGTCGCTTTCAATAGAACTCGCTGCTCAAAATGCTCATTTGATAAGCGATTAAATCGAGGGATATTCCACATCGTCGCCAGATTAAATAGTCGTTCAACGGATGCTGAGGATGGTAAAATAGTGTTGAATTTGATGAAAGTTGCTTTCACAATAGAGTACACATGCAGAATGCTCAAATCATTTTTCTTATCATCACAAAATTGCTTGAATTGCTCCTCGGCAGCATTTGTACCGATGGGGTTCTGAATGACAATATCATGTTCACTCCCATCATCGAAATCAAAATCATCGCAGCTTATATCCATTGGTTCAACTACTGGTTCCTTCGAAGGAGGCTGATAACAAGAAGCCAACCCAGTTTTCACAGCTTTCAAAGCGTTCTCTCGAGCAATTTCTCCAAGGCAATGCAGCCATCTCAACTTAAATTGTGGATGAACTGCAGCGGCTATGACTGCCTGGATGCCTTCTCCCACGACATTGAAACAATTCTTGAATCTGGAAATGCATCAATGACAAATATTTTCATTAAAGAATCGTGATTTCAGATAAGAAATATCAAAATGTAGTTTATTACCTTTCTTCCAAACTTGTAATCAAAACAGGGATTAATCCTTTGCAATAATTCAATTGAGTTTCGTTGAACTTTTGTAGCTGATTGCGAGTCGAGATGATGGTTGGCAACAAGTGACCATAAGACACATCATTCTCACCCTGCAATTTATCAAGAGCTACTGCAATTGGTCTGTTGCACTTTATGTATTCCTCCAGGAATCTTCATAATGATGAGATATTCGATTAGAAAACGCACCCATTTGTAATATTTGGATCGAAGTGTGGAACTTAGTCATTTGGCATGAGTGACTCTGCTAGCTCAAATCTTGTAGATAGAATTTCAATTTTTGATCTCAATTTAATGATCTGTTCAAGGGCGTCGAACAGAGAATTCCATCTCGTAACAGTCGGGCGTTTCAGGGCTTCTCCCAAAATTTCAAGAATGGTCTCACATTTTATTGGAGATTTCAGCAATGACCACAGAATGTTACACTTATTGATAACGTCATAATACATTAATTTGATGTATTCGTTTGCATTGATACCCCTCAAAGTGTCAGTCGTGGCAAGTAAATTGAATGTATGAGCGGCACATCTTATGTGAGCTGGAAGCAACTTTGACACGATTTCCCCGAAAGCCATCCTTGTAATAAGATCCTGTTCTTTCGCCTTTTCTGATTGTTCAATCATTTCAGTGTTTTCGTCATCTGGTGGAAGAATGCGGAAGTGATTAAGTATCTAGTACTTTATGGATCATTCTACTACATATAAAAGTCTGCCCTGATTCAGGACGGACTTGTATAATTCCGGAAATTTTCATATCTCTGAGAATAATTGTCCAATTATGCCCATGAGCAATCCCAAGTTTCAATATCATAAAACCTAGTCTTTATAGTCATCATGAGGCAGTTATAATAATAACTCATTATTGGCATATTGAAATTTGAGAAACGTGAAATTTTGGGTTTCTATGCTTCAAAATGAAATGATTTTTTGCCTATTTTCATTGTTCGTTTCAAATATAATGAGCATTTGGAAACATTAATTTTGCCCCTCTGGCCCCAAATAGATGCTCAATTACTGAGCTATTGATATTATCATATTTCCATATTAGTAAAGAGTGTTTCCTGACCTTGTGAAGAGTAGATTATGTCTGCTACAATTCCAAATTCTCAGAAAGCCTTGACAAAATTAGAGCCATTGTCAGTTACAGTCGCTCGCAGTTTATCACCCGTTAATCCATATTTTGAATGGATATTCAGAATCTTTGCAATTTTGTCATGGGTATGACTACCCGGGAAGCGCTGGCAGGCGATGGCATGAGAAACTCTTTTCAATGTTACTTCATCCAGCTAGGAGCCGCCCGTACAATAAATTATTGATGGAATTAGCACTTTCTCTTCACATTATATTTCAATATGTAGAGTATGTCAGTCGTTTTGACTCATTTAATAGTAATGAAAGTTGTAATTAGTTATCATACAAGACAGAATGCATATCGCCGCTGTAAAGTTATACTGGCGTGAGATGTAGACTAATAGCTCCCACGTCACGATGATTCTACGGCAACGATATCATTGACTGTAAAAAATTTGGTGTTGATTTGACAACGATTGGGATCCCAGGGAGTGAACACCTCTTTTGGTATGTAGTTGAGATGTTGAAAAATTATACTGTATCATAAAACGCCATATGTAGACCCGGGGTTAATTTAACACCAATCGGTATCTCAAGAAATCCACACCGGATTTTTTACAGTGTTAATGCCATTTACATAACTGTGAATATAATTCACATAACACGATGAGAGAGCATCACACATTGAAATGAACTCAAGGGAAAAACACTTGGTAAATTTGTCTGCGTATGATATGAAAATAGATGAAATGAGATATATAAGACTCCGTCGTCTAAATCTGGGAACGTATGAATAATCAAAGCTGCCATATACACACAGACACCCACACGTGCACAATCAAACAAATATGAAGACTATTTTCTTGTGTCTGTGTACACTTTTCAATTCATAATTAACTCGTTATTTATTATCTTGAAATAATCCGTTTCTCGACTTAGAGCAAGCCCAAAATACGGTTTGTAACAGGGATAGTCACTCGATTTGAAATAAGTCGACACTCGGCTTGAATCAAGCTAATAACGAATTGAATCAATACTTTTTATTTTTGGGTGTCATCTGTATTTTTTCAAACGGAATATACCTGGGATTTTTGGCTAGAATTTGCGCGCAAAACCAACTGCTGAATTTTTGGAAGAAAAAAAATGAATAGGGGTTGGAAAATGTCCACATTCTGTCGGAGAATACCGACAGTAATGGTTGAGCGAGTAAGGTGTTGCTGCGGCAGATGTCCAAGCTAAACAGCGTTCAGCTGGGTTAGTACTTGGATGCGTGACCGTTTAGGAACACCACTCACACAAAAATTGCTGAGCGGCAGGCACGGGTAGGA